TTTTTTTTTTTTTTTTTTTGACCTATCGTGTATCACGTGACCTACCGAATGTCAGCGAACTGAAAGAAGAATAAGGAGAAGGAGAAGAAGGAGAAGAAGAAGAAGAAGAGGAGGAGGAGAAAGGAAACGAGAAGAAGAAGAAGAAGAAGAAGATGATGGGGAAGAAATATGGATGTGGTAGGGTATGGCAGCGGGGTGTGGCGGTAGGGTATGGCAGCACGGTATGGCGGTAGGGTGTGGCGGCGGCAGGGTAAGGCGGCGGCAGGGTATGGCCGTGCGTTATGGCAGCGGCTGTAGGGTATGAAGAAAGGCAGAGAAGGAGTAAGGAAGGACGGGAAGAAGAAGAAGAGGAGAGCAGAAGACCTAGCGAATGGAGAAGAAGAAGAAGAAGAAGAAGAAGAAGAAGAAGAAGAAGAAGAAGAAGAAGAAGAAAAATAGAGGTGAGGAGGGGAAGAAGAAGAAGATCAAGAAAGGTCGAGGAGAAAGATGAAAACGCGTGGGGGAGGAGGGTAAGAAGAAAAAGATGAGAGGACGACGAGAAGAGGAGGAGAAGAAGAAAATAAGCGGAGGAGGGGGAGGAGAAGGACAGCCTTTGTTTTTTTTGTTTTTTTTTTAACCTGTCGTGTATCAGGTGACCTACCAAATGTTCACGAACTAGGAGAAGGAGAAGAAGGAGAAGAAGAAGAAGAACAAGAAGAAGAGGAGAAAGAAAACGAGTGGGGGACGAGAAGAAGACGAAGGGAAGACGAAGAAGACGAGAGGAGGAGAAGGAAGAGAGAAGAAGAAGAAGAAGAAGAAGAAGAGAAGTCGTTACCTGCAACAGATACCCTAGCAGCAGGGCTTTCGTCTGCCCATCCAACACAACCCTAAATGATCATGACAGGAAGAAGACGAAGAAGAAGAAGAACGGCGCCTCCGTCGTTGGGGCCTTCGTTGTAGCAGCAGCAGCAAGGCGTTCGGGGCCTTCGTCGTAGCAGGAGCAGGAGGACGGTCGGGCCCTTCGTCGTAGCAGCAGCAGCAGGAGAGTCGGCACCTTCGTCGTAGCAGCTGCAGCAGCACTTGTCGATGGCGATGTCGACGGGCGACGGGCGACGGCGCAGCAGGACGGCGCAGGAGGAACTTCGATTGTGCTGGGGGGGCGAGTGGCAGACCACCCCAGCCGATCCCATGTTTGAACGCGGGATGTTTGGCGCCTAGATCAACTGCCTCTAAGGCCGTTGATCATGGCGGATCTATGGCCAGAGATAGCCCACAAAGTTTTCAAAATCCCGCAGGCCTACTGGGCCCGACGGGTCAGTTTTCCTGGCCGGTCGGACCAGGTAGGCCTGCGGGAGGCCAAAAGCAATGAAACGGGGGTCTGAAACCCCGAAACAGGTCATTGCGCTGGGGGGGGCCGGCCCCCTACCGGGTGCCCTGCCCGGCCAGGCCGCCCGGGACCTACCCCGGGCCTCCTCCCATCAGCCGGGCGGCCCGGATCCCCACCCAGTCTAAAAGCACATTCTTCCGATGTCAGTTAAGTCACCCAGCAGCAGTGGAGGGCATACTCACACTCAAAGTTTTTCCACTTCTCTGTGGACGTAACTGTGGCTAAATGCATCCTGGCGGGGATGGAAAAGTGCTCATTTACGTCGGGTGAAGTCCTAGTGTAAATATGCCCTTAGTAGAGCCCACAAGCAGATAAGACGAGGTGGCCTCGGGGGTGGCAACCTTAAGAGATGGTGATTGGCATAGCAACTTGAAAAGATGGTGATCAGAGGAAGAACTGGGAGCAAAGCTCAAGAATCCCCAGCAGGTGGAGTCTCGAAGGGAAAAGCTACTTACAGCTATCCACTCAGTTTGGAGGAACATTCTAGAGCCCGAATGCAGAATGGTTACAAGGAACATGACTGGTCGAGACATTTTGGGAATGCCATCACAGAGGTTTCCCCATGGTTGCTGGGGCTCAAAGGCCGTAAGAGACAGGAAGAATCGGTCCACCCCTCCTTGGCCAGGCGCCTGACTGAGCTGAAGATGAAAGAAAGAATAGGAAGACATGGTAGGAAAAGTTTCAGGCCAGTGTTGGGTGGCTCCTCTTACCAGGATGGAAGGACATGGAGGGCTACCATTTCTTCACCCGACTAGAAAGCCTGGTCCGTATCGCTGTAACTGGGGCAAGTTTCGGATCAGATGCAGCAACAAAATCGGTTTCGCATAAAGCAGATTCCAATATGGCGTACACATCTAGAAAAGGCTACAAGCTGCTGCACTCGAATCAACATCTGGGGAAGGAGGAACCCAGCACCTAGCATGGATCTCTCTGCACACCACCTGGATACTGGAGCTGCATCGTGATGTTCACAGGGGAGAGGTGGGGGGGGGGGGGGGGGGGGGGGGAAAAAAAAGTGTGGATCTCTCCTGGTATGCCATGGATCCCATTCTTCAGATCTATCATTATGGGCATACTGGAGCAAAGTTGGGCGTGCTTGTTGCACCTTCACTCCCAACATGATGGGGGCATACTGGAGACAAGGTTGGGGGTGGCTGCACCTTCACTCCTGTGTCACCACGGTCATGCGGCATGCAGAAAAATCCTTGCAGGTTAGTTAGCATATTCTGTGACATTTCTGTGCCGTTTCCCCTCATCCCTCCTAAGGATGTCTAGCCATGTGTGGTGAGAATGTATCATGGCCTGCTGGTTGTCGGAATGGGGTCGAGAGTCTACCTGACATCTGATGTCCTTCCGAAAGAAACTCACCCTCTTGGGCGAGAAGACTATCCAGTTCAAGGGTGACCACAGCTAGCAAGCTTTAAGCCATTTGTTTGTCAATGTTCTGGACAGCCCGAAGAGGGAAGATTTCAGTAGGCTTCTCTGGGCAGGAGCAACTCTACATAGCTAGCGCATTCAGGCTCTCAGTTCAAAATCTGATTCTGGCAGAATGGAGGCGGTCAAGAAAGATTAGTAACACAGATTCCATAGCCCAGCTTTCCCTTTTGGAAAGGCAGGCCACCAAGTCCACTGCATCTGCGCATATGAGAAGAAACCCAGATTAGCTTCTCCAACCTACTTATGATGAAGTAGACAACCTGAAGAAGTTATACCTTAGTCCTTTCCTTTCATGCCCCCTTCGACGAGATGCTTCCCTGAATGGTAGTACAGACCTGGACTTTCAGATCTGACGAAAGCAGAGTGGAACGGGGAAGCTCTTCCCTGGTGTAGTATACCGATCCACGAGACCATAGAACCGTGAGACGTCCTGCAGGATAACTAAAGACTGGACAGCAAAGGAAAAAGGGTGGTCGGTTTCTCAAATCCGCCACTGGATTGGCTGCATCCAATGGCAACAGCTGGGAGATCGTTTTTGAACTACTGTCAGAACCTTTTTAACTTTTCAGAGGGTGGTCGGTTTCTCAAATCCGCCACTGGATTGGCTGCATCCAATGGCAACAGCTGGGAGATAGTTTTTGAACTCCTGTCAGAACCTTTTTAACTTTTCAGAACCACAGGAATGCAGGAGACAGGAAGAAGCAAAACGGCTCCAACACTGAAACTGCAGAAGACAGAGAAAGAAGCACAACGGATCTGACAAGGAAGCAATCAAACAGACCTCGACATGAGACCGCCGCCAAGTGAACTTCCTCCTCGCACTTCAGTGGTTCTGAACAGGGATCCGTTAAACCACAGGTTTTTCTAGGGTTTGGTATCCCCAAAAAATACAGTTGAGATACAGCATCTGCAAGGAGTTGATGGGAAGTTCTCAGTGCACCCACATCAACGCACAAGGCAAGACGACTTCTGTCTATTATATTACTTTTCACACAGACTTTCTTTTGTTGTCGGGGAGGCTGATACCTGAGGGACTCCCCTCCCACTGGCTTCCTCCAGCCACAACTTAACATAACAATTGGTTAATTATTTCTGCTCTCTTTTTGGTTTCATGATCTTCAAAAATGGGTTGATTATGTTCTTTCTATTTCTGACTTTGTCATCTTCATTCCAGATCTCAGGCATCTTGTTTTTCCTGGGGCCAACCAGTCTCCTCGTAAATCCTCATATTACTCAGTCCATGTGACTGAATGGTATACCCATGGACTGCTGATAAGCAGACCTGAGTTCGAGTCCAGACCAATGAAGAAAATAATGGTGAACTTCCTGGGGCTGGTCAGTCCGATGATGATGATGCCTCAAGACCGTCATCCCTTTAAAAAAAAATTGGAAAAGACAGCAAAATTCTGATAAAGGATAAATCACTTCCTTCTGAATCAGGACAAAGAAACCACGGACTACTGTGTGCTGGGGCCCAAAGGAAGAAAGCAACGATAAAGCGAAAGAGCAAAGAAAGGTATATAAGACGAGAACAGAACGGGACTTCACGGCCACCGAAGGGCAGGAGATCCCTAAACGCTTTTCACACCCCCTGCTTCTGACTACAACCGCCGAAAGGCCTTCCGATTTTACATTGGAAGAGCCTGGCTTGTCCCCCCACCCAACCTGACAACCAATGGCAATGGGGTCTGGAAAGGGAGAACGAGGAAAAGGGGGGGCGGGGGGAGGGAGGAGAAGAAGGGGGAGAGAGATGCAGCACCAGGAGGGTCTGAGGCCTGTGTTGATAGGAAGCAGAAGACATGTCATGTATCTGTGGTTCTCTAATAGAGAGGAATCAAGATTAAAATGAAACATGGATGGCCGTGACTACGTGCATGAAACAGGGTGTAACCAAAGGCAAGCCAGGGCTTGCTTTATGAACAAAGAAACATTCAATAAATTGGATACCCGGCATCAAATCCTAAGGAAATCAAGATAACTACTTTACAGAGTCAATGTAAAGACAAAGCCACCAACTTAATGGACACTTTAGCCAACGAAATGACTTAAGGATTTATTTCCCCAGATGGGACAAATGCACAACTCTCTGCACCTATGCCGATGATAGGGACTCGGACACTTGTACGGCAAAACAACAGAGTAGCACAGCACTCTACTGGGACAAACGGAGGTACCCACCAGCGAAGACAACAGTCAAACAGACACTAAAGAATTCTGAATCCACGCACAGCCCAGCCCTCACTCTGCTCTGCAGAAGAGAGGGATAGACCCGCAATGACGCATCGACACATGGAACTGCAATAACATCCCACCACCACCAGAACGAAAAACGCAACACACTTTGCTGATGTCCAAGTTCTGTGTTCGTGTGGGCGTTTCTGACTTGCCGATGCCCTCACTGAGGACTGATGATTTCCCCCCTTTTCCTGGGGAAGGTCTCGCACAGAAACATGGGCACTCTCCCACAGAAACATGGGCAATGCTAACTCAACAATTCCCGACAACTCCCTTCGCTGCACTGATGGTGTCCTTCCTCGTTCGAAGGCCCCGCACCTTGGAACTCAGCTGTGCACCGACTACTGATCCTCCTGCGAACATGGCTCCAACTCTGGTTAAGAGAACCTGAAGGATCGCCATGTTCTGAATAACCTCCTGTGACCATCATTCCTACTATAGTTGATGAGAGAACCTGAAAGATCCCAATTTCACCCCCCCCCTCCCCCCCATGAACACCATTCCTACTACTCTGGTAACCTGGAAGGAGCCTTAACAGGTCTATCACACGAATTCCTCCTACTGATGATTCCTCCTGTGAACATACGGCATCCCTACTCCTTTTCTGGTTGAAGGAACCTAAAGGAAGGTATGTCTTTCAGAAGGGGAGGTGGATAAACTTCAGACAAATCAACCTCAGGCATGGACTTTGAGATATCATCAACGGAGAAAGGTATGCCAGAATCATCGTCCAAAAGGAAGGAGTTGCTCACAGCATTATTGGAATCTTCCGTCATCAAAATCCTCATGTTCTGAATAACCTCCGGAGCTACCGTGTGGGTGCCATACTTGTCATCCCAGTACATTGTGCTGATCCGGTACAGCTGCTGGATGCTCAATGCCGGGCAAAGATCGTGCATGATCTCGTCAAGCGACTTCTTCGGCTTCTGATGAATCACCAGGAATCCCACAGCTTGCCTGATGTATCTCAGCTCCTCCCAGGAAGCACCGGCGTACTCCTCTCCAGCCTCATAGATCCAATGCTCCAGCTGTGCTAGTCCAGCCTTGATGTACTCTCCATTGCTGAACGAGCAGCACTCACGCCTCAACAGCAGACTGTTGAACAGCTGAACATTGATGAACGAGAAGATCTGCGTGAAAATTTTTCTTACCAAATAGGGGGGCACCTTGTTTCCGCGCAGGATGTTCAGCAATTTTAACAGAGAATTGATAATGCTTCCCCAGTGAGAGCTAAGCACTTGCTGCCCAGGAGCAGGGGACACCTTCCTCCCAAGTGGATGCCGAGGAGCTCTTGGTGCTTGAATACAGGAGCCCAGCAAAGGCGTGATCTCCTTCTTCAAATTGTCACGCACCATCCCATATATCTTCTCCACATAAGCAGTGAGCTGCTGCTTAAACAAGAGAGCAGGGTATTTCGCCTCCACCTGCCGGACGTTGTCGAGACCAATCGGTCCCATACCGTTCGGGTAATTCTGCTGCTGAGAACTGAACCTCTGCGTCATCCTCCCAAACAAGGTCGTTTGCCTTCTCCTCTGTGGAGCTGTCCCACCTCCTCCACTGGCCTTGAGAGTTCGCTGCAGAAGATACAGAAGCGTGGACGTGTTCGAAAGCCAGTAACCTAGCACATCATTGTTCCCTGAGTGGCTATCTATTGCAGTCTGAATGGCACTGATGATGCGGTCAAACACGTTCGTCCTTTCAGCCTCAAACGAGTGCCACTGCAGCAGACACTTAAAAATTATAACAGCAGCCACCGGGTGATCGTTGCTAAAGCCCACATCTTGCATAACGCAAGCCAAAAGCGCCTCCTGATCGTTTTGAAGCTTGTCATGCATCATCTTGCTGATCTTGTGATCAACTGCTGGTGCTTTTACACCAGGCGAACCCAGTGAAGCCACCGGCGGTGCATATGCCGGTGTCCTTGGAGTCTCCTCCCGAAGCTGGCCATCTGCATGGGGAGCTGAAACCACAATCTTCGGCTTAGGCATCCAGATCTTCTCAGCTGGCACGGGATCAGCAGCAGGGGTGATGACCTTGATCTGCGGCAAACCGTTCGAGAAAGCAGGGATTCTCTCGATAGGACGCGGAGAGACCAAAGGGGACGGCCCCACCTTTACGGCGGCCGAGGAATCCTTGTTGTTGGTCCAAGTCCGCTGTTCTAGCTGTTGCTTGAGTGCCTGGTTCTCAGATTTCAGTGCCTGGCTATCAGCTTCTAGATGCTTCAAGTTCCTTTGCAAGTCCTGGTTCTCAGACTCGAGATCTTTCATGCTCAGTGCCTGCTGCATCAGAATGCGATTCTCGGACTGCAAATTCTGTTTCTCCGACTGCAGGCTCTGGTTCTCTGATATCAAATTCTGAACTTGCTCTTCCATTCTGCCCAGCAGTTCCTGCATCGTGTCAAGCTTGGAATCCGCCTCCTCTATCCTTTTTGCAGACCTCTCTGCCAGTGCCTTCTTCTTCTCGTAATCTTCAACATGCTTCTTGAGCTTCTCGTTCTCCTCCGTCAGTGCCTTGATTTCCTCCAGGACCTCTTTGGAAGGCTGTGCAGCCATTTCCGCATCCACAAGCTGAGCCGCAGTGGCCTTGGCCTGCGCTAACTCTGCCTCGTACACCTCCCGCTCCTTGGCCATTAACGCCTTCATCTGCTCCGCCTGCACCTGCATCTCCTCCATCGCAGACTGTAATTTGGCAAGTTCGTTGTTCTTCGCAATGAGGTCATCCCTAGAGAGCCCAAGACGCAAGGTGAGCTCCTCACACTTCTTCTCTAGCCTGTTCTTTGCCTCACGCAGAGCACCGGTTTCGCGAGCAGCCTGCCGCAGCTTCTTCAGTTCGCTCCGTGCCTCCTTGCACCGCCAGGCACCCTGGAAGAAAATGCACGACCTCAACAGCCCGTTGTAGCTCCTTGAGGCGAGGTAGCTGCGCCACTTCGACTGAATCTGAGTGGCAGCAAAGTTGTCTTGCAAAGTGCAAAGAACCGTCCGTGCGGCAAGAGACCTGACAGCCGACTGGATCCTGATAGCAGCTTGTCGCATCTCAAGGTAATTCTTCCGCGCCAGGTAGCCACGGATATACCTTTGGAAGCAAATTGCAGAGATCTGCTCGCGGAGGAATCTGAACTCCAGTCGTGCCATTGTCCCTCTCCAGTAGGCCTGCACAAGGACGGAGGCATCCTTCCTCCTCTGGTAGTCCCTGCTCATGAGGAAAGTCTTCACTCTGCGCTGGATCTTGACCGCAGCCTCGTTGAGCACGTTCGACCTCTTTGTGTCCAGAATCGCCATCTGCCCTGCCCGCAGGAACACCTTGGTTTTGCCAATCTGATAGCCCTTGAGGTTGCACTTCTCCAGGAGAATTTGGCATGCGGCTTTCTCGTCAGCACTCTCTACCAATACTTCCGGGTGCAGCAATCCGAACCTATCAAGGAAGTCGCCGAACGTGCGGCGAGTAGGGAACCCTGCACAGCTGATCCTGACGGCCTCCAACACACCGCTACAGCGCAGCTGCTGCAGCACGTTCTTGTTCTCGAAGATCTGCGGCTTCAATTGCATGTTTGGCTTCACGCACCGGATGTAGTGCGGTGCCGTGAGCTTCAATGTGTCCATGAGGGAGGCCAGTTGCAGCCGGAATTGGCTACCAATGGACGCGAACTTCGACGGCGCCTTCGTCCCCTCATCTGGTGGAAAGAGTGCTGCCACGAAGGGGCATTTCGACGCATGGAGCAGCTGCTGATGCTCAGGCACCACGTAGTCCTTGTTTTTCTCCAGGAAGAGATCTGCCCGGTACTCCACCTGCCCCGCATAGTGATCGATCGTGAACGCCGTCCTCTTGAACTTCGGTCTCGAGAACCTTCTATGGCTTTGGAAGGTGGACCCGAGCTTACTCGCAAACGACTCAGCTGTCGATTTCGGAAACATGCACGCCTCGTCCAGCAGCGCAATGATTCCGCCAGGCTTCTTCTCTATCAGATCTAGCACATCAATGTTGTCCACGAAGTCTATGTCGTCCCAGTTGATCTCTTCCTTGCGATACTCGGCTTGCTCCATCTTGAAGACATGCGTGTTGAAATGCTGCTGCAGCTTCTCGTTCGTCAGATTGATGCAGAACTGCTCGAAGCTGTTTATGTCGAAGCTCTCAAAACCATAGATATCCAGCACCCCTATCAGAACCGTCGAGTGGAGATCCTGGCCAATAGACTTGTTGACCTTGTCAACCAGCCAATCGAACAGCTTTGCATATATTGTCCTGGCAAGCGCGTCCCTGTTGTCCGTCGCCTGGCTCTTGTCCAGTATCTTGGTGATGCTCTCAGTGCGCGACGCCCTCATGATCCGAGTTGTCAACGACTTCTCCAGCATCTTCTCGTCACACATGAGTATCTCTGCCGCCGCTCGCAAGTGGAACTTCGCCTTCTCGCTAGAGACCTCCGACGCCTCAGATGCTCCCGTGCTGAATTCGATATTGCCGAGATGAAGCACGGCGGCAATTGTCCGAAAAATTGCCTCCTGCTCTTCTGCGCCAATCCCCACAACGTCCATCGCCTCCCTCGTCAGCTGGTACTCCTTGCAATCGTCGATCGTCCCCACTTCGACGCACTTGCTCTGGTTCAAGTAATGAAACGACTCAGGAGGTCCGAGCTTCAACCGTTCTACATCCTCGGGCGATGCGCCCGCAACCAGCTGATAGAAGCAATGGTAGTTCCGCTCCGGAGTGGATATCTGAGTGACGCGTGACCTCTCCAATAAATAAGTCCTCACAGCCGCACCGGAGATCTTGCCCTTGTTGAACTGAATCTCCACAAACTTTCCAAAGCGACTGGAGTTGTTATTCCGCACAGTCTTGGCATTTCCAAATGCCTCAAGTAACGGATTGGACTGAAGCACTTGGCGCTCGACCGATCTATTGTCCCCTACCGTCCGTCCACCCACGAAAGCCAGGTACTGCATGATCTGCTTCGTCGTCTCCGTCTTACCAGCGCCACTTTCACCGCTCACCAAAATGGACTGGCTCTTGTTCTCATCCATCATCGCTTTGTAGGCCGCACCGGCCACAGAATAAACATGAGGGTTCAGATCCCCCGGTTGCGCATCCTGGTACTGCTTCATCATGTACTGATTGAACAAGTGGGGAAGCCTGGTGAAAGGATTGACCGCAATCAATATATTCCCTGTGTAAGTATAGATCTCATCGTGCTTGTACCTCGTGTACAGATTGTGCAAAACGCCAGGTTCGTGCAAATAAGAAAGCTTCGTCATGTCGTCCACCCCCCTCATCGTCACATCTTCGTCCCTGGGAATGCCGTTTGCCAGGGTCGTCTCTACCAGATCGCCGTTGATAGTCCGTGCCGTGACCACAACACCGTCGATTTTCACCACAGTCGCTTCTATCCACGCCTTCTCCGGATCTTCAATCCACACCGGCGAGCCGACCGCCAGTACTGCGGACGCCCCCCCGGGCGCCCTTACCTCCTCGGAACCCATGGTGACACTCCTGAGTGGAAGAACCGCGCTGCCACTTTCGCTACCGGAATGAAAAGCACGCTGCCCTCCCCAATCTCGCCAAACGATGGACGAGAGGGTCTCGCCTCACAACCCCACCTTGATTTCCGCGTCTACATGCCTGTCGACAATGACCTGTGCTGATGGGTGATGGATAAGCTGCTGCGTGCCGATCTTCTCTCCTCCGCTGTCGATGGCAAATCCCTTACTCCGTTCTCACAGCCCCGGCGTCCCCCCGTCCCCGCCCCCCGCGTCTCACCCTCTCTCCCTCTCTTCCCCCCTCCGGCGATTTTTCCTACTACTCCCCCTCTTTCTACAGAGCCCAATCGGGGTAACTATGCTGCTCCCTGGACCGCCAAGGAATTCGTAGAAGTGTCAAGTAGGAAGAGAGAGAGAGAGAGAGGAAGCCTTCTTCTACGGAATCAAAAATAACCAAAATAGTGTAATCAATCGCTCATTAATCGATCTACCCAGCAACCAAAGCAAACACGAGTTTCTACGAAACAAAACTCTAGAAGAAGGAAGCATAATGAGAGAAACGGGACAAGAAGCCAGAGAGAAAATCGCGAGAAATCCGTACATCATTCACCCCGTCCCATCCCCGATCAACAACCCATACCAAGCCTACCCTCCCTCCCTCCCTCCGGCTATGGCCTAAGGACTCTAAGCTGAACGAGTCTCCCTATGACACACACAATACCATACTACTCTCTTCTCTCCCTCACACACGCGATATTTGCATCCGTCTGGGTATACCACTACTCTCTCCTCGCTCACACCGCGATTCCTTCCGATCAGTCCTCCGGACTTCCACCCTCCTCGGCATAATCCGGTCCTCCGCTCTTCCCCATTCTCCGACCGACGGCAGAATCCGGACCGATATCGCCGATGATGGAGATGTGTCCTCCTAAAGCAATCAGGGGAGACGGCAAATACGGACTGCGCCGTGCTGTCGCTCCCTTTTTGGCGGGAAGGGAGCGCGCAGAAAACGGAGACCGCCAACAAAAGACAAAAGAACGGGGGGGGGAAAAGGCAGGTCGAGAGCTCCAGCAGTGGAGAGAAAGGCAGAGCAGGCAAAAGACGCAACGCGCCCAGTACTGCACACCGATAGGCACGCCAAACGACCCTGCCTGCTATCGTGGTTGCTCGCCTCTGTCACTTTGCTCCCTCTCCTAACCCCTGGCCGCCGTCTGCAGGGCATACTCGCACTACGGCAGCACCTCTCGCAAATTCGCAAAATTCGAGACGCGCTCTACCGCCTCAACGCCTGCCGAGCCGTGGGGCAAGGTCCATTTTGCACGCCTTAGGTCACATAGCCCGTAGATAACAATGATCGACGGCTAACATCTCTTGATCCATACGATTGGGACCTCGCCCCGATGACTCACTCCCACTGGCGAGTGCTCAGACTTGGTTTCTAGTATGCACCAGTTCCTGCCATCCGATCCGAACATCTCACTGCCGCAACTATGGCGACGTTGAAAAGTACTGGAAAGTTGAACTAACACCTGCGAGTGGGACTTGGCCCCCGTGTTTAAGAATTTGCAGTTCGCAGCCTCCTGGCTGCGCTTCACCCTGGTTGCGTTTTAGTGCACCTTTCCCGTTGGGAAATGTCATCGTGGATGAACCGGGGTTTAGAGGGTGTGCACGGGTACCAGGGAAAGGTAGGTCGCAGGCGCGCCTAAGACCAGTAGGTAGAAGGGTAGTGGCAGAGGTCGAAGGCCGGGCATCCAGCAGTAGGCGGTAGAGGTCGATTGGCATTGATTTGGGACGGCGGCCAGCGTTTCCCATTTCGGGAAGGGGAGTGTTTGTGGCGGGCCTTAGGAGGGATTTAGAAGGGAAGGAGAGCCTTCTAGCTGAGGGTGGAAGGCCCTTTTTTCCCAGTTTTGGGGGATGTATTTTCCACGTTCTAGCGACGGATTGATTTTCAGGTTGCGAGGCCCAAAGGCACTTTTTTTTTTTCAGTGTGTTTACAGTGATTTTTTTTTTTTTTTATTTTTTTTTTACAATCCAACTTTGCATTTCATTAGAAAAAAAGGGGAGGCCGGGAATCCCTCCACAAACAACCCAGAAAAAGTAACTCTATGACCATTACCCAGTTTATGGTGCAGGCATTGGGAAGTATAGTCCAGTAGCAGAATTGGCCACATCTTGACCGCTGCCCTGACATTTCCCAACCCTGGGGGGGGGGGGGAGAAATGCCTTCACGGCCCACAAAGCCACACAATCCACAAAGCAAAACAGGGCCAAAAGGTAGTCTCCCTATCTAAAACAAGAAAAGAAGAAAATACAACCAACCTCAAGGAACAAAAAAAAAAAACAGAAAACGCTCAACCTCAAATAAATGGTCTGGCCCAGACCAAAAAATTGGCTACACTCGCCTTGAAAGGCGCATTCATTACCCTAATACTACTAAAAACTCAACTGAGCTCAACTAACTCATTGAGGCAAGAGAAGCAACACTCCTTCCACGTCCAGAGCCATTCCGCATGTCTATTGCGAGCTTTTCAATCTGTCCCAAAGCAATCGAGTGTTGTAGGTTGCGAGCAACAAGGGAAAAAAGAGAAAACAATATCCCTGAAAACCAGGTCCAAATTCCACTGACTATTTTTGAAGTATCCATTAACTGAAAATCAACCGATTGTTTTCCACCTGCACGATAGATTTTCGTAGTGCCCATGTCTCCTTAAACCATTGGAGCCCATGAACTGATGGGATGTTTCCCACCTTCCTCCGCCAATCCGCCTGTATAGAGTGTCTCAGACGAAGAACAATGGAGCTTCAAATCTGACGATTGGTCCACTCTTTGTTTTCAAAGACTCTCTCATTGCGACTTTGCCAGATGATTGCAAAGCACGCTGCTCGAAATTTTTTGGCAACATAGCCCCAACCTTTGGATTTTGAAAAACTTGGGGGAATACCTCCCCACAGGGTCCACTCTTTCGTCCACATAAAGGTCGTATCAGAAACCGGATTCCAATGTTTGATTAGCCCATTCCAAATGCATGTGGAAGCCGGACAGTCCCACCGGAGATGAATGAAGGATTCAAAGGCTCATTTACAATGAAGGCATTTCATATCAATTTTCATTCCCCTTTCTGCTAGCTAAACTGCAGACGGAGTGGCGGTCAGAGAAACCAACCATAGCAAGGAAGCATGTCTTTGATTATGAATAATCTTCAGTTGTTCCCAACACGATGTCAGAGCCTCCAACAGAAAATTCCAAAACGGAAACTATGCCTAAAAGTTAAATTTTTCGTCCATATTTCAACTTTCAGTTCTATTTTGTGATTTTTCATCCCTTGTCCAAGATCAGGGGATAATTGTTCCTGCATAGAAAGGGATGCTGCTTGTCAAATTATTCGGGTCCCTTGTTTTTCCCCCTGCTTCATTCTGGAGATGCGGTTACATTTTCAGACTTTTTTGGACGGCATGGAATCTCCAAAATCAGTTCCCGCATTTATCGCCACTTCAAGCAGTCGTGTCCCTGGAGCACCGTCCTTCCACGACTAAACCTTTCAGTTTGTTGAACCACTGCCGTTCGTTGTACTTCGCCTATTGGACGGTCCCATCGTGTTCCGCCAGAAGGCAACCTCCAAGATCATCATAACGTTAATGCGGCCAACTTATTGGAGATAAGGAGCAGACCGACTGGAAAATGGTACGCCAAGGCTGGAAAATGGTACGCCAACCTCTTGGAGGAGACACTCCAGCCTTTGTTGAATAGAGCCGTTGGACTGCGCCTACTACCGATGTATCTTTCCATGTTCTGGTGGAGGATTCATTCTCCATTTGCACAGTCGGAGAGTAGTGCAGCGAGGCCGCCAACCTCGTGGAGAGAAGGAGCAGGCGGTTGGTGCTCTCTGGCCACTGTCAGATGGTACAGCGCGCACACACTGACACTTGGTGCTTTGTACTCGCACAGTCATTTGTTCAGGTGCCCGCAGATGGTGTGGGACGCACACACTCATTTCTCCGTTGCAGCAACTCGCGACGGAAGTGGCGCAGTAGGGGGAAGGTGCGACGTACCACATTTATGGAAAGTCATATAAACTATCCTGCATTGGAGCGATTCTCATTGCCCTGCATTCTCATAGTGGTATCTCTTATTCAGGTATGCTCTCTCCTGTTCTTCCTCTTCTTGGCAGACGGGTATGCTCACACGGTGGACGTGATTGCTTTCAAACACATGAAGGCCGGGTGTAATTGCGGGCAAATACATTTAGGAAAGAGTTGGTGTGAGTATGCCCTGTTTGTAGTTTTTGTTTTGTTCTTCTTTTCCGTAAGTGTTCAGCTCGCCCCACCCTTAATGTGAAAAAGACAAGAACACCATCGGGTCTTTTTGCCGCCATCTTCACTTCGACTCGTCGGCCCCAGGGTGAGCCTGCGCAAAGCCTCCCGTCGGTTGCTGTCGTCGTTCGTGCTGTGACGTCGTCAAGCTTGAAAGCCATAGTTAGCTCAAGATGGATACTCTCGTGAAGCTCGCCATCGTTGTGAAGGTGATGGGCCGAACCGGATCCTGAGGTCAAGTGACTCAAGTCGGAGTGAAGTTTCTGGACGATCAGTCACGGTTCATCATAAGGAATGTCAAAGGTCCAATCCGTGAGGGTGATATTTTGACCTTTGTGGAGTCGGAGCGCGAAGCAAGAACGCTCAGATAAGCGAAACCCCCTCGGGCTATGGAAGTTGTGTCTGTGGAGGGGGAGGAAGAGGAAGGGGTGATGATGGGACGTATTTCTGTTGGCATCGGATGGAGAGAGAGAGAGAGAGAGAGAGAGAGAGAGAGAGAGAGAGAGAGAGAGAGAGAGAGGTGGTTGGTTGCGAACCAGCGGAATGACGTGGAGGAAGGGGGGGAAGGTGGGCGGAGGGAATTTTGGTTGCGGAAGGGTATTTTCCAAAGATAGTTCTCCTCTAGTAGGTGTATAAATGAGGCTTTGTCCCTTACCTACAATGGAAGGGGTTCGTTTTCAATCATGTGCCTTCGGACCCCTCTTCTCGTGAGTAGTAATCGTGCCAAAGGGCGTGTCGCCACCTTGTCGAGAAAGTGTCCAGGTTCATCGTGCCTTTCAACGATGACCTCGTCGAGCCAACGAAACTGTCCAGATTCATCATACCCCTGCCGAGGGGGCTATCTTTCGTCGCCCCAACTTTTTGCAGTTCAGAGTGGTTGGTGACGAAGAAAGAGTTCAGCTTCGTCGGTCGCTTCGAGTTTCTAGGGTTTTGTGGAACAGGTAGGTGGTTTTGACTGCTGACACATGGCACCTCCTCTTATGTCGCCAGAGTGAAGGTCCCAATTTCCATGGCCATGTTTTTTTTTTTTTTTTTTTTGGGAAGCCTGATTTTTTTTTTTTTTTTAAGCTGAAAGCTGCCCAAATTTTCCACTTCAGAAGTCCGAAAAATGCAACCAATCCAAGCAAACAAAGATGTACGAGTACGTGACGCGCGTGTGAGCGCGCCAATAGTGCGCCCGCCATTAAAAACAATCAGAGTCACTGTTCAACCGCGAGAGAATCAGTTCTGTATCTACTGAGTATAATGACCATCTCACCGAAAAAAAGAATACTACTTCCTGACTTCCACCCAACCGAGCCTCCGTCTCTCTCTCTCTCTCTCTCTCTCTCACACACACACACACACACACACACACACACACACACACACA